CCCGCCACAACACCCGGCTATTTTTTGGTTGCAGCCGTCATTGTTGTTTGGCAGGTCCGGGCTGGGGATTCGAACCTCCACCTTAGGTGTACATGGCTGGTGCCTTAGCCGGTTGAGCTACAGGCGCCGAGCCCAGACCAGCTTTTCCATGGGGCAGTTCCAATACTACTTCAGTCCTCTACTCCAGATTTTAAAAGCTCCCTGTTATAATTAATAATAAATTTATAATTTTACTAATAAAAATAATACAGACTATCCAGCCTCACATATCCGCTCCTGTGCCTCAATTTCCTCATCTATAAAATGGGGATAACAGTCACACCACTTTCTGGCTATAAGGCTTCACTGAGTTAATATAGGGTAAAACTCTCAGGATAGCACCCCGTACCTGGAAAGCACAAGGACTATTTCCTAGTACTTGTCCTTTGCCTGGGAGCACCGAGGATGTCACTGATGTCACCACAACAGGCTCTATCTCTTCCTGCCGAGTTATCTGAAGGCAGAGCACAGTAGCCCTGGATACACCTGGCTGCTGTGCTCAGGCCTGGCTCTAGATGGTGGTACCTACCCCTTGTTGATCAGCTGCCACTGCAGGGGATACATGAAGTCAGCAGAGGGTGTGGCCCAACAGCTGTTCAGGACCACTTTAAACCTGGAAATAAAACAACATGGCATCACTTTGAGCCAGAGAGTCTTACGCCTGGAAACATCGGGTGGTTAAAAAGTATCTCAGCTAGTCTTCTGTTCTTTTCTTTGTGTTTAAGAATATGAACCTAGAAGAGATATACTTACCTGACACTTAACCCTTTGGCTTCTACTCCTGCAAACAGATCTGAGCCAATTTCAGATGTTTCCAGGACAAAGGGGGCTTCTTTCTTGGTGGAGAACTTGGCATTCTTGGGAAGGAAATTGACAGTAGGTGTTAAGACTTCTCAGACTGAGCAGGTGGGTCTGGCAGGAGCAGGTGAATTGGGATAGGGTAGGGGTGAGAATTAACTCAAAAGATATAAGAGCATGAGACCAGAGTGACTCTCCAGGACCAGAGAAGCCACAGCTCCTGGGATGCTAGTGCTCTCTTAGAAGGGACAAGGATATGGCATATTCTGCACTGGCTGGCTGTGGCGAGACACCTACAGTATATCAGTGAGATTTGAGCAATGGGAAGAAAGTAGAGCCCAGGGACGCTGAGGCGCTGTGCTTTACTGAACACGTACAGCGCCCCCTGCCCTTGTTCACCTCTACTTTTTGTCTGAGTGGATTTCAGCCTGGCCTGGAAAGTTTGCCATCTGATTCTTGTTAAGATTACAACCAGCAGTAACAAAAACAACCACAACGTATTGATTGCCTACTGTGCATGCAGGACACTGTCCTATATATTGGGATAGCCTCTATTCAGTATGTTGAAATACATTCATGAACAAAAAGCAAAGATATCTGCCTCTAGTGAGCTGGTCAGTCTGTAGCAGTGAAGACTGTCCATAGACAATAAATAAGTCAATTGTACAGTACGTTCCAGTAGAATGTAGTACCTTATATAGAAAAGCTACAGAAATGTAGACCAGGATAAGGCAGATTGGGAATGTGAAAAGGCCAGGTTTCAAGGTCAAATACCGTGGCTGGGGAGGCTACAGTGAGGACGTGGCATATGAGCAAGCCTTGGAGAAAGGGAGAAAGGGGTTCATGCAGTTACCAGGCCAGACTGCTTGAGTCAGAGGGCTCTAGACCTTGGACAGGACTGCAAGGCTAGAATGAATGAGCTGGAATGAATGAGCTGGTGGGGGGCAGAGAGTGGGGAAGGGTGGGGCTTAGGTTAGAAAGGTCATGTGGGGAATGGAAAAGCCAAGGGCTGCAGCTCTGGGTACTTGGGGTAGGGGTGGGGGTGGGGGTAGCATCATCACACTTTGAGTGGCAGGTTCTGATCACTGGCTTGGTGTGGGTGGTGGTCGCCTGCCATCGTTGTCAGACCATTCTGAGCAGGCCATTGGGAATGGTAGCAGTGTTTCCAGTGGACTTACCAAAGGAAGCTGGTTTCTCCATTCTCTGAATCTCGGGTTCATTCGGCTCTAGAAACAACCTTAACCAACTCTGCGGCCTCCAGAGATAAAAGCATTGTGATGGGAAGGTGAGGACCATGGGCTAATGCCAGCTCTCACTGCTAACTTGGGCACACCTCAGGCAAGTCAGCCTTCAGGCCTCAGTTTCTATATGCAAAGTAGGATTAATCTTTGTGACTTTATATAGCAGAAGAATAAAGCCTAGACTGGGTGCTAATTAAAAGATCGGGTTTAGAGCTTCATAGAACTGTGATAGGCAGTGGTGGGAGGAGCAGATGCTGAGCAAGGATGTCTGGTTAGGATGAAGTTTACTCCTCACATGTCAGACACAGGGACACTGCTGAGAGGATCAGAGTCTCTTTCACCTTCTAGCACCTCTTACGTTATTTTGCACATAACAGGTCCATCCACGGTTCCCCAGCTCAGTCTCCTAAACATCCTGTTTGTCAGGCCTTTTGCGCCATTTAAAATGGTTGCAATGATTAAATACAAACGTTCTTAACCATAAGGGATTCACTGGCTTAATACGCAGGCTGAAGCGGCAGATTTATAGTGATTTGTAAGGCCCCTTGTTATTTTGTAAGATTTCTCATGTTACAGGAGACCATTTCAGATGAGAAGTAACTTGGAGACCTCAATGTCCTCCTCACCCCAAGGAGCTCTGTCCAACTCCTCCTCCCAGGGGCCAGCCAGCAAAATATTCAAATATTGGAATAATGCCCCTACTCAGGGGGGAAGCTGCTTGATTCTGTTACAAAGTGGAGAACAGAACCAGTTCCATTAACTCAATTCCTGAAAAAGAACACTTTGAATGATCAGGCTCTCCACTCTCACCCAACTTGTAAGCAATGTTTCCCAACTTTCTTTACATGAAATTAGCAACTGATCTCCAGATGAAATAGTCCTCCCTTATCCACGGGGGATATGCTTCTGAAATCAGGGACATACTGAACCCTCTTATACTACGCTTTTTGGATCTGGTGCTTGGGGTGGGATAGTTTCTCCTCAGTATAGAGACAGCTGCTAAGTGGTGAATGAACAGCTAGTATCTATAGTGTAAAAATGCTGGAGAAAGGAATGATTTATGCTCCATGAGGAGCAGAGTGGGATGGCGCGAGACTTCGTCATGCTACTCAGAACAGCTGTGTAATGTAAAGCTTGTCAATTGTTTACTTCTTGAATTTTCCATTTAATATTTTTGGACCAGAGCTGACCAGGGGCAAGCAAAACCTTGGATAGGGAGAGACCTGGAAAGTTTATTTTGGCATCCCTGGAAACATAGAAATACTACATCAGTGGTTCTCAACCTTCCTAATTGCCACCTTGTTACAAATGGAAAAAAGGGGTCGTAACCCACAAGTTGAGAACTCAAAGAGAATGGATGACCACCTTGAAAACTCCAGTGCCTTCACTTTACTGAAAGGTTGAGTCACAACCAGCTAGTGACACTAGTTAAGGATGGACATACATTGTTTAACAATAGTTCATGTGGAAAAATCTAGAACTTGCTTTTGAAAAAGTAAAAAATTATTCCAGAACCTAGAAGGTCACCTCTGACCCACCGTGTCCTGCATTGGTCTGATAAGGTTTGGATTATTGAATCACATTTCAGTTCTGGGCTCCTTTTTTTTAAAAAATAGAGGCACTGACCAACTGTCATATTCAGGGAAGAGGGACTAGGTTGGTAAATGAACCACAAATAGTGAGCAGATGTTTAGCTTGGGGGAGATATTTAGCTGGAGATATTCGAACGGCTGTCAGCAACAGAATCATAGGTATTATTTCAGAACACAGAACCAGGGCAATGGGCAGGAGTTCAGGGTGTCAGATTTCATATGCTGATCTGAAATGGGAAGGCCCGAATCACCATTGTCTTGGGAAGAGATGGGGAGGCCACCCCTTAGCAATCCTCTAGAAGGGTCTCGGGCTTTGGTGGAAAGTCAGATTTGATCACCTCTGAGGTTTGTTTTGACTTTCAGTCTGTGATTTTGGCTTCTATTGTTTGCATTTGTTCCAGCCCAAGCTTTTTCCTTTCTCTCTCAGGAATGATCGGTACCGTTTCGACTGAATACAAGTCAATCTAATCCCACACTGGCACTAATGTTCAGCCTTACAGGGGTAACAATGCTAGGAGCTCTCAGAGCTTCTGGTTTAAATAGGGTCCAAGTCCATGGGAGTGGTTACTTTCTTAGGGACTAAGCCCTTCCTAAAGATCACTTCGTGTAATCATATAACAAACCTATGGGGTAAATGCTATCATTATCACAATTTAACAAATGCAGAGATGGACGCCAGAGAGTTTGACTAACTTGCCCAAAGTCACATAACTAGTAAACGTGGAACGAGATTTCCAACCACAGGCCTGATGGCAAAACCCATTTTCCTAACCACAGGACTGGGCGGCTTCTGTAAGCTGACTACCTCTCCTTGTTTTTTATTGGGAGTCAAAATGACTCTTCCCTGGGAACCGACCGTAGGCCACTGGCCAGACTGAGTGGGAAGGCCGTGGGGAGAAAAGAAAAAGGAAGCACTAAGAACAAGCCGTGCTTGTGGAGCCCAGCGCTCGGGGCTCTCAGAATCCTCAGCAATGAGCGGTGAGCAGATTCCATTGTGCTGTCTGGGGCACCGCTCTGTTTCTGGTAATTTGATGGAAATATATGCAGGAGCAGTTGTTACTTCAGAAACACATGAGAATGCTCTCAAAGCAGAGGAAGGGAGAAAAAAGTGAACAAGCCCCACGGGTCAGGATAGGAAACCGAGTGGGAATATCGGTCAGCACAAACGTGTCTGTGTAACACGCTCCCTGTTTGCCGGGGTCCTTTTGCCCTGGAGGGAACTGGTGGGCTTCAGCGGAGGCCTGAGCCTCATTTCTGTACTAGTTCAAGGAGGCACCCTGTTAGCCTATTTCGGTCTGTCCAGCTTAGAGAGCATGCCTTTTATTTACTTATGTTTTTAATGAGTTCCTTCCAGTTCTAAGGTTTGGTTTATGTCTGAAACTCAGCCCAACACACCGATGATGGGTGATGATTTTCAACAATCTTGACGTCTCTCTATTGCCAACTGTTTGAAGACCTTCATGGCATCTTATCTATGATTTTATCTGGTTAAAATAACAATGATTCCCTTCTAGACGTGTACTCAGAGTAAAGGCAGCCTGTCATTAGGAAGTCCCCTGAGACTGCTGTCAGCGTGCAGAAGCCTGTCTTCCTCTCTGGACAGCCTTCATCAGTGACCGCAGGGGTTTAGCCACCCTGCCATCACCCTGGTGGCCCACACTGTATTTGCTTTCCCCCACTATAGGTCACGGGGTGGGACAAGATTCCTCTTACTTCTGTGGTCCTTAACCACGAGTGGGAGGGGGTGGATCTAGATTCTGGGAAACCTTCATGCTTATATACTTTGGGGATCCCTCTTTAATAAAAAGAATCACAATTTTCAAAACAAAATTAGGCACATGGCTTTGAAAGGGGCTTGTGCAAGGGATCCTGACATTTAAGTGTCATTCCCGTCACGGGAATGACAATTGTTAGGAGATCGAGACTGGGCACTGATCTGGATCGCCTGTGTGATCGTGGACTAATCACTTGCTCTGGGCTTCAGATCCTAGTCTGTGAAATGGGCTAGGTTATTCTAAAATCCCTTCCATCTCTCCCTATCTGAGTTCAGCATGGTTAGTAGTTTCTAGGCAGCAGGTGAAGCAAGTTCAAAGAGTTTAAAGTTGGTGGAGTTCCAGGTAGGACATTTTTTCCCTTGGGAAATGAATGGGTTGCACAGGAAGCCCTCTAAGGAGGTCTTTTGGTTTTAGTGATCCGTGGAAAGGTTTGTAGTTCTGCCTGCACCCTCCTCTGGCCAGCTAGGCTAGTGTATCTATGTGCATGTGTCCTCACTGGAAGTAGCAGGCTTAACAAACAAAGCACTCCTTCTACAGCAGAGCAGCCGGGCTAGTGGCCATTGCATATTTAGTTTCTCTGGAGCACTTTATTTTGAGAGACACCAAAGTGTGCCTTTAACGTCAATGTCAACATAGGCAGCCTGCCTAAATTTGACGGCAAGGAATCCCACCAACTGAAATGCTTTAGAGACCAGAGAATCAGGCAGCAGCCCAACCTGTCTCCTTAGTCCTGTCCTAGGCAGGAAACTCAATTCCCCGTGCCAAATGTTTGAAGAAGAGCTAGATCCTAAATAGAAATCTATGGAGAGGGTTGCAGTGGAAACTAATCTTGATTAAGAGTCCAACATTGGCAGTCTTACTATTGACCTGGCCCTCAGTTTCCTCATCTCTAAAATGGGCAGGTTGGCCGTCTCTCTCTGTGGCACTTGTCAGCTCTTCTATCCAGTCTATGAATCTGACTTCATTCTATGCCTAGTCTTTAAAGAGGTTTAGAGCTAACTCAAAGCTTATGTCTCAACTTGAATTCAAGAGTGAGGCTCTCCATAGAGCTGGGGGGAAAGTGAACCCCGAGGAAGCATCCCATCATGTCCTGGGGAGTCCACAGGGCAGTAAGGGAACCTGGAGAGCACTTACAGTGTAGAAGTTGAGAGACAATTGGCTTTCAAATGTGCCCATGCTCCCGTTCTTCACATGAACTGTGGCCACTCTGAAAAGGGGAGAGAATTTTGCATAAGGACTGAAACACGCCTGGTTGGTAGGGACTGTGGCACACACGCAAGGCAGCCAGCCCTCTGTGCTGCAGAGCAACTTACCTCTGGTCGAAGGCGGCCTGGTTCACCAGGTAGGTGGAGTGGTAGGTGCAGGAGAAGGAGTAGTTGACAGGCTGGTTTTTTACGATCACGGTGCTGTCATTGGAAACAATGTGGCTGTAGAAGTGGTAGATGGGTGGCTTATACTAGAAAAAGGAAGAAGGGCGTCAGAGCGGCCCTGGGCACCCCAGAGGGAATGTGGTTCTGGGAAAAGTCAATGAAGATGGGTCAGGACAAAGCCCAGAGGAGGGGCATGAATGTTCTCCACTGACAATAGCATCCACTCTTGTTGTCTGTGAGTGAGCTGATAGTTTCCGCAAAGAGTTCTTGTGTTTGTTCAAGTAAGAGTGTTTAAAATAATCTAGGTTGGTGTTGTGTGTGTAAAAAAAAAACGATATATACTCACTGGGCTCTGACCAAAAAGAACTGGCTCAAAAATCTATATCCTAGTAGTAATTTTTTTTTGCCTTTTCTCCCGTCCAAGTATCCTAAATTAATGCTTTACTCATCTCCAGTTTCTAGAATGTTACTGTCCAATTCTTCCTCCCCACCGTAAGTGCTATTTCTTTTCTTTCTTTTTCTTTTTTGAGATAGGATCTTAATCTGTCACCAGCCTGGAGTGCAATGGCATAATCATAGCTCACTGCAGACTCCAACTCCTGTGTTCAAGCGATCCTCCTGCCTCAGGCTCCCAAGTAGCTAAGACCACAGGTGTGTGTCACTATACTTGGCTGATTTTTTTTTCTTTTAGAGATGGGGTCTCACCAGGCTGATCTCAAACTCCTGGCCTCAAGTGATCCTCTGACCTCAGCCAACTGAAGAGCTGGGATTACAGGAATGAGCCACTGTGCCCGGGCCATAAGAATTATTTCTGAGACTCTTCCTTTTGACTTGGACTGTAAAGGCACAGAATATTAGCTGTAAGGGATATTGAATATCCACTCGAGAAGTGACCACCCTAAGGCCATATAGATGATTTCTAGTTCACCTTACCAAGATATACTCAAAGATGTGATGCTCTGCTAATCATGCCTGTGACACTTTTTTTTTTTGCACTTTTTGGCCGGGGCCAGGTTTGAACCTACCACCTCTGGTATATGGGGCCAGCGCCCTACTCCTTTGAGCCACAGGCGCTGCCCATGCATGTGACTCTTTCCACCAAACCATTGAATAATTTGTGAGGTTTTTAGGAAGGAGAGGTGGCCCTGGAAGGTCTTTGCTTTCACCTTCTGAGGTCTGTAGATGTGCAGTCTTCTGGCAGTCAAGGCAGCAGGAGGGCCAGGGGCCCCTCCCTCACGACTGCACCCCGACTGGTTCTGTGGCCCTACTAAGGACTTCGTTGGGAGGTCTCAGATTTCTCCTCAGTCATAGGATCCTTGGCAAGAGGATATTTGTGTTTTCTTTTCTTTCTTTCTTTTTCTTTTTTTTTTTTTTTGAGATGGAGTCTCAAGCTGTCACCCTTTGTAGAGTCCTATGGCATCATAGCTCACAGCAACCTCAAACTCTTGGGCTTAAGTGATTCTCTTGCCTCAGCCTCCCAAGTAGCTGGGACTATGGGTGCCTGCCACAATGCCTGGCTATTTTTGTTGTTGTTGTTGTTGTTGCAGCTGTTATTGTTGTTTAGCAGTCCTGGGCTGGTTTGAACCCACCAGCCTCGATGGATGTGGCTGGCACCCTCTCCACTGAGCTACGAGCATAGCTGCATTTTCTTATAATTCTATGAAGCCCCACCCTGAGCACTTCATGAGACCAAGTTATGTATTGTGTCATAGTTTAGCCATGCCTTTAAAATGCTCTTCCAAATGCACTTTATCACCACATCAAAGGGCAGAGGTTGGCTCCTCTAACCCAGGAAGGATGGCAGCTTGTGAGCACAAGCTCAGAACCTGAAGTTCTCCCACTCACAGAAGGTAACCTGGCTAGTTCTGGCAGCAAATTAGGAGAATGAATAACCAGCTACAAGAGTTACCTAAACTAGGGAGAAGAGAAGATTTCAGATAACACTACCACCCCAGCAAGCATCTCACCCTCTGTCCCAGCTGCTCTGAATCCTGCAGCCTGGCCTTACCTCTGACTGGGTCCCACAGTAGGACTTGTTTTTGGGAGATAAGTCGGGAATCACAAATTGGTAGTAACCTCCTTCGTGTACCCCATTGTAGCACAACCCTCCGAGAGCCAGCTGATGCACTTCCCATCCGTAAGGACACTCGGGGATTTTGGTGATGATGGTTTTGGGATAACAAAACACGAGAATGACATCTGGAAAGGGCACAGGCAGTTTGAAATCAGATTTGCTAATCATATGAATCTACATAAAGATCAGTGGATTCCTACCACACCCGAACTAGCCGAGCAGTAGGTTAAAATAATGCTATCTTCCTATTGTGTACTGGCGGGGATGAAAGTTTTCCCCAAACTTGGGTGATTGAAGTTCCACTTTTATACTTTTTTCTACATCTATTTAATAACTGTACTGCCTTAATATCTATTTAAAATTGGTCCATTTGAAAGCTTTAACTTTATTTTAAGGTGTGTACCTGTGAAGCCACAGATTAGATGTAGTGTGTATTTGTAGTGCACACACAGACACAGACACACACTCACACTCACACATATGTATTTAAAATCTCCATGAAAACGAGCACTTCACTTAAAATTTTAAAGTATCAATTTCATCCAAAATATTGTAAAATACTGATATATGGCACAGGACAGAATCCCAACAGTTAAATACAAAATGTGAAAATGTTTTAACTATGTGTCTATACAGAGAGAGGAGAGGAGAGAGTGAGATAAGGCAAGCATTGTCTAATTTTAACAAAGTCTTAAAATTTATCCATGTAACACATTGCGTTCATACTTCTTAAATTTATACCAAAAAAAATCTAAGTTCATCTAATATATTTTCGTTTCCTGTGGGAAAAGAACGATGGGCCGTGGGGGCTTCCGCGCTGTCTGCTTGGCCACATTATTGGATCTTCATACAAGGTGAGCACAGAGCTCTGAGCATTGCAAAGGAAAGCTTCAGGAAACGTTCTTTCTAGGAAGGTGGATTGGCTCCAGGGCATACCTGCTTTGTTCGGAGTACAGGACTTCGCAGAGGCTTCCGCAAAGATGGCCAGCAGGACGAAGGCCCTCATCACCATTGCTTCTCAGTTCTGGTCTTTGCCAGGTGGCCAAACCAAGCTGGCCAAATGTTTATGGTCTTTCCAGGGCCGGGGCCTCGATCATTCTAGGTCAGAAACATGAACAGACAGTTAAAATCAAGGTTAAGAACAAAGCAGCACACGTGGTCTTGGGGGAAATTTCCAGGGAAGAACAGTGATGCCACTCCCTGTTTCTAAGGGTCCCTTTTTAGCACTGAGAGGCAAAAAGTGGGGCTCGTACCACTGGGTGCGTCAGTGACCCACGCAGTTGCCCGTGTTCCCATGTTTTATCATCTCTGCACTGTGGACGCTGCCTCTGCTCCCCAAGTCCCTATCCAGTCCCAGCTTAGCTTTATATAGCCCGAGGGTGTAAAAGAAACCGACTCCAGATAAGTCACAATGAGCGTGCTTATCCTCCTCCGTGGGGGGAATAAAAGGCACCTCGCACAGTAATCCGATGGGAAGCTCAGTTACCACTTGGGTCTTTTTTCTTTTACTTTGCAGAGTTGGATAAACTTTTTGTTTTTAAAGAGCTTCAACCATGATTGAAAGAAAAAGTTAATCCCCCCACTCCCCACCCCGCCCATCCAAACAATAACTCCAGAGGAAAATAGCTATTGCATTGTTGCCTACACAGCTCCAGGTGACAATTTTCTTTCTTTGAAGTCTTCCTTTCTGGGCTTTATTTCTTGTTTTCCTATTTTTCCATGTAGGTGAACTAAACTTTGAACTTAAGAAGACTCCAGTTTAGCACTCAAACAAAAAATAGGCTACTTGTGTTATGGCAAACGTTGTAAAGGGTTTTTTCTCTCTAGTTTTTAAAAACAAACTGACGCCTAGGACTTCATCTTGAAATACAGCTTTTTTTTTTTTCCACCTTTGAGGGTTCTAAAGCTTTGTTAGTCTCCCAGAGTGACGATGTTGAAAGGAACTTTCTTCTAATTCAGTCCTTAGTTATCCAACAACACCCCACTGAAAATGACAGAGGAAAGGCCGTTCCCAGGAAGGTTGCAGATTCATTCCTGGGAATGTGCGTACTTTTAATATTTCAGAACATTGGATGAGTCTTATAAGCAATATGGTAGAGTTTCTTTATTTCCTCAAAACCTCTTGTTAAATTGATGGTGTGTTTTACAATGGTGTGGCAAAGAATTAAGGAAATTGCGAGAGGGCAAGCCATCACAAATTTTTGTAACTCAGTTTCCTTTTCTGTAAAATACAGGCTGTATTGCTGGGCTGATCTCCTGGGGTGGGACAGCGAGAATGTGGGGGTTCTTGTAAACTGTAAAGCAGTAAGTAAATAAGTAGATGACATGAAAAGACAACAAACAAGTTTTTTTGACACTAGGATCAAGGGTAGTATGGCCTGGAAACAGGATCACCTTTATACTGTTCTCTGTGGCTCATTCCTCGGTAGAGAAAAGACACTTAAGTCTCACATACATCTGTGAATTCTGGGTTTCTCTGTCTTGGGGCTTAGCACTAAATTCTGTTTGAAGGAAACATTTACTGGGCCCCCGTGATGCACCAGGCACCGGGGTAGGCCCTGGGAAGGTGCATGGGCTTCAGAGGAAACTTCTTTCCCTGAGGACCTGGCGGGGAGGGGACAGCACGTAAAGTGGTGGGGACATGGGAGGTGGGTGCTTGAGAGAGGAAGTAACAAGCAGACTGAGACACAGCAGCTGGAAACAGCCCCGCTGTGTAAGGAACCGGCCTCTGACTGGACAGCAGTCATGATCCAGCACTGACAGTTCAGTCTTGCGCTTCTCTGCGGGGTTGGGATGTTTGTTCCCATTTCAAAAGGATTCTTTTCACACAACTTTTTTTTCAGCCAACTTTAACCCAGGCAGGCCAACAGAATGGTCTCATGTCTGACCTAGTGGGACAGCGCTCATTCATGGCAAGGGTTGCAGAGGATGTAAACGCCCTTCCTCCCTCCCAGTGGACATGTCTGGTGGGTGCCAGCAAGATGCTGTGAGGTGCGACAGGGCTCAGCTGAGACTCTGCTGCCTGCCTGAAACCCAAAGCCCACCTCAGCCGTGACTAGCCAGCTCTGTGTTCCTGGGCAGGTGACTTAGCTTTTGTGAGCCTTAATTTCCTCTTCTCTTAAAAGGACATGACGGTATCTGTGACATAGAGTTACTCAGAATATTAAATGACATATGCTCATATATCTGTTAGCACGGACATGGCTTTTTTCCCCCTATTAGGAAAACCTTTTGTTTTTATGCTTATTCTACCTGGGAAATCCAAAGAAGGGGGACGATTACGAACGGGTGGCCACTGGACATTAATGTCGCCAGTGCGGGACTATGTGATATTGTAACTAAGAGCACAGGTTCTGGGGGAATTAGAGGTCATGGCTCTGCCACATTCCCAACTGTGTGATCTTGGGCAACTGGCTTCACCTTCCTAAGCCTTCAGTTTCCAAATCTGTAAAAGGGGCTTTCCATCACTTATGTCTGTTACTAGGATATAATAAAATAATGCATGTAAATTGCTTAGTGCTGTGCCTGGCGCACAGTGAACACTCCAAGACTCACTGCTGTAAAGGTATTCATCTGAGGTTGGGATCTGCAGGCTGGACAGGCAGGTCAGCTGTGTTCTCACATGAACTCTGGGTGTTTTCTAATGGTAATAGTCTTCTCTTTAGAAGCCCACTTTAATGAAAGAGCAGGTGCTTTTGATTTCTAGAAAAGCCTGATAATGATAAGATCCTGGGACAGAGAAAGAGATCTCTCCTACAATTTCTTGGAGCAGGGACCCTGCTAACAGTGAGGTACATGATACTCCTTTCAGGGCCCAGCAGAATGAAGCTGGGGGAGTGGATTTAACTTTTGTGGCAGGCTAGTCTCTAGATGTTTAATTTGCATAAGAAACAGAATGGGACAAAATGTTCTTGGGCCAAACAGTATTTGATACTTGCTCTGATAAAAGGCAGGAGGCTCCTATTTTTTCTGGTAATTACCTCCCATTCCAATGCCCTATCCCAGCCCCTCTCTGCTTTCCAGTCCTCCCTCCATTCCTGAGATGAAGATGGGGTGGGTTGTTGGGAGGGGCCCTGCGAGATGAAGTGCAAGGGCAAAATCTCCCCCTGAGTTTTGCTATTTCTTCAAAAACACAATCAAATGGATTGGAAAATCTTCACAATCTCAGGATCTTAAAAGAGCCCAGTAAAGAGGATTTCATGGCAGGTGCATCTGAAAGATGAGCTTGTCTGTTCTTCATTTTTTGTCCGTCTGTTTTCACGTGAATTGCCAAGCCATAGAAGGTACCTGTTCTAGTTGAAGGTCCTGAATGATTGTGAAAGCCCAGGCACAGAAGGGTTGCCATTTGCAAATTCCAATCCACATTTTCATTCATAGCTCAGAAATCACAGCGCAATGAACACCAGTATGCTAAGACTGAGGTGGCAGATGGTGCTTTAAAAAGAAAGCTAATAAGCATGCATTAAAGTTTAAAAAGCTGCTTTATTAACTTATTTTTTTTAGAGTGCACTATTTGGAGTTCATTAAATGCTGGATTTGTTAAATGGACTCTATTGTTTCCTTAAAGCTCTCAGTCAAGCTTTCTACTTTGTGGGAGGCAGTGTTTGCCAATTTGCAAATGAGTGGGTGTTTCTGTACAGGCTTCAGTGACTCAAAGCCCGCAGCACTCCCCAGGAATTAACAATTCTCCTGAGAAAGTGGTAGAAAACACACTTTATGAAGGAGAACTGAAAAGTGAGAAAACACTCTGCTGATAGTGTATCAGAAATTCAGAGCAAGAAGCCCCACCTCCCCCATCTCTCACCTGACCCTGAAGCCTCTGGCTTCAGAGAACCTCAGTGGATTCTGGCAGCTGAATCAGCCCCTCCAGGAGATCTTGGGATCTTATCTGGCTAATCTCTAAGCAAGTTGTGCGGTCCTTCAGAAGAGTAGGACCCAGTTATGTCTCTTATCATCCTGGCATCCACTCCTCACCTGTCTCCTGGCTGGAGGGTAAAACTTGCTCCTCCTCACATCAAAAGTAAGGGTCTTATTGCCAGCCTAAAAAACCCAAGCAAATAATTGATTTTATTCCTGGACCTTCCCAGAGAATCACTCGTGTATTCTTCATACATTTACCCATTCATTCGTTCATTTGCCGAGTATGCGGTGCGTGTCTGTTATTACCAGGCAATAATCAAATACCTGTCTATATCTGTTACCTACATCTACTGCCGTAGATATAAGGATATGGAGGAAAGACACAGATAGGCTTTAGACACAGGAATAATGAGGCAGAGAGGAGGCGTTCTCTTTGGATAGTATCATTAAGAACATCTCTTTGAAGAGAGACTTAATTTGAGGCCTGCAAGCTGGAGTGAGTGACGGTGGGATGTGTGCATGTGTGTAAGCAAGCCCATGTGTCCACAGGTTGTGTGTGGGAAGGGGCAGAGTATTCTAGGATGGGTTGTGGGGCTTTGAGGTTGGAGGCAGGTTGGAGAGTCTATATTCACCAACCCTGACATAGTTTTTCAAAAGCTCTTTTCAGTGTTCAATTTTCCAGACACCCAAGACATTTTTCCAGTTCGATTTGAAGCATGTTTTCTCTTGCCTGACTTTTCATATCACAAGAATTTGCATCTTTTGTGGTTAAGCCCATTCTGGGTTCTCTTTCTGTTTAGGCAGATGAGTGTCACTTTGGGTATAGATTTATAATTTGAGATGACCGTAATTGTCCCAGGGATCTGTAGAAACTAGAACTAACAGCCTTACTCTCTAGGACCCATGCCTGCTTTGGCTGACTGCTTTGTCCCTTCGGGAATTTCATGGGAAACCATTCTCTTGTGGAAGGAGTTGCTCCTGGCTTCTTCCTCACACCCAGTCACAGTCTAACCAAGTCATATGTCACTGCAATTATGCCAGACAGGAGTTCCCCTTTCTTTCTTGTCTGGGTCAGTTTATTGTATCTGGCTAGTCCTCAGATAGGCGGAAGACAGGCAGAGGGAGGAAGCAGCAGCAGAAATGCCCTAAATAATTATCCCATGACCTACCCCTGGACGATTGTGCCATCCTAACCATGATTCACTTTGTTTTCAAACGACTACATACTCT